ACAAGCAGATTATGATCAATTTAACAGCCATTTGAAGCAAGGATTTAATTGACTAAAAATGATCCATCCATATAAAAGCACACACACGAATTTAATCTAATTCAAAGATTAAATTCAAATTACTAATATTTTGATATTTTTGGCAATCTATAAATCCGTCTGAAAATAGGTTCTGGGTAAAGATTGCTTGGTTGGTTACATTAATAAATCTGTCTCTTCGCTCAGATTTTGCCGATATTGATCCGATTATGATGTAATTAATCCTTTTCTTTATCTCCCCATTTTCCACTTTTCTTCGGGAAATATTCGCTGATTAAATAAAAAAACTACCTCAGTCTGTATTTTCAAAGTCACAAAAAATATATTAGTTTTCTGTTTAATCTCAGTTTTCCTTCAGAAAGAAAAGGATTTCTTTAATGTTCTAAAAATTTTAAGATTTTCTATAATTGTGTTTGTATTTTTTACAATTTAATATAATATGTACTAAGTTTCATGGTAATGAAACTACATGAAAAATGGTTTACAAATTTTAAAATATGCTTTATAAAATAACTTTTATAATAAACATTGCAAGTTAAATAAAAGCTGATAAAAAAAAACAAATGAATTTGTCTATACCGGGTGCGTTTCAAAAGTGGCTCACCCCTCTAACTTTTTTTATTTTTTTAGATAAAAAAACGAGATTTGGTATGTTAGTATATGACATAAATTAGAATTGATTGACATATTCAATTGTTTTCGGTCACTTCCTGTTTCACCGAAAATTACTACAACTTTTGATTTTTAAATGGCACACTCGGTATTTTTAGCCGACCATACCAACAGGTATAGTAGGCTAATAGGCAAAAAATTTTTTTTTAATTTCACTCAAAATTTAGTTAGAGTTATTTGGGTCATAAATGACCTAAATACAAAATATTTTCATTGGGTCTGTCTGTCTGTCTGTCCGTCTGTCTGTAACAAGATAACTCAAAAACCGCTAAACGGATTTTAACCAAATTTGGTACAAAAATACTGTGGCACCCGAGAATCTGGCCATTAGTTTTTGGTAGGGGTGGGGGGTTGGTAAGAGGGTATGGGAGGGGGTTAAAAATTTTAAAAAATCGTATCTCCAAAATTACAGTAGCTAGCGAAACGCGGTTTTCAATATAAGATTAGGAGTAATATTTTTGCAACAAAATTTGTAATAACATCAAAATCAGTCAAAGTTGCAGTTTTTGAGATAATTGAAACTAAAAGAACTGCCTACCAACTTTTTATTAAGATATTTTAGAGTGGGCGGCTATACGTGCCTCCCGGCGCCAATTTTTTTTACTTAATTCGATAGAAAATGACACTCTGAATCGAAAGACATATCATATGTCAACTTTTGATATAGTCGCTTAAAAACAAATTGCATTTTACATTTCAATCTAGAGTGCCATAATAGCTGTGTTAAAAACACTATTTTTTAATCAAGGAGCCTTGGAAAAATAGATTTAATCGTGTAATGTTTTAGTGTCTTGTCCTGGTCGGTTCAAAGATGCCCAAATCGTATTTTTAACCATATCTCATTTTTTTTCATATGGAACAAGGGTGGCTCATTAGCATATTTGGAAAAGCATTTTTTTACGAATAATTTGATACCATACACTTGGTATTTCGAGTCAAATTGTCGTTATGAACCGCATATTATAATTTCAAATAAACCATATGCGAACATATCAAAAGTTGATATATGATATGTCATTCTATTCAGAGTGTCATTTTCTATTGAATAAAGTAAAGAAATACTCAGGGTGCCATTTAAAAATCAAAAGTTGTAGTCATTGCCGGTGTAACCGGAAGTGACCGAAAACAATTGAATATATCAATCAATAATATGTCAATCCTAATATATGTCATATACTAACGTACCAAATTTTGTTTTTTTAACTAAAAAAATAAAAAAGTTATAGGGGTGAGCCACTTTTCGGACGCACACGGTATATAGTGAGTCTTAAATAACTGGTAATATTTTCAGGGTTGGTAGATCTTGACAAAAGAAATACATATTTTTCCGTTTTTCAGATATGTACAAAATATCTGAGTTGTTTTATTTTGTAATTTTAAACAATACTTTTTCTGCTTAAATTTTGAATTTAATATGCTGTCTATGGTGCAATATTATTAAGATGGTATATTTTTTAGCTGGAAATAAAAAAAATCCAAAAAATGTTCTAAAGATTTAAAATTTTTAATTTTCTTTTGGCACAAAAAACTCATAAACGGTATAAACAAAAAATTCAGTCATTAGTACTACTACTAAATAAAATCAATGGTCGTTCTAGTAACATGGCATATAAAAAGCATCATAATTAAACTTGTTTTTGGAAAATATCAGCACCATTTTCTAAAGCGGTTAAAAGTTTCAGTTTGGTTTTAAATTTATTGCCTTAAAAGTGACCCAAAAATCATTTATTATCTTAAGAGGATTCACCAACGCCCCTAACTCGAAAATATATAGCTGTTTGCTTCGTTTGTTTTGTGCTGAAAATATGTTTGTATCGCCTTGACTCCTTATACCGGGTGCTCTCTCAAAAGTGGCTCACCCCTATAACTTTTTTATTTTTTCAGATAAAAAAAACGAGATTTGGTATGTTAGTGTATGACATAAATTAAGATTGATTGACGTATTCAATTGTTTTTGGTCAGTTCCTGTTTCACCGGAAATGACTACAACTTTTAATTTTTAAATGGCACCCTCGGTATTTTTTTTTACTTTATTTGATAGAAAATGACATTCTGAATAGATACCATATGTCATCTTTTGACATTCTCGCTTAATAAAAAATTGTATTTTAAAATTCAATCTAGAGTGCCATGGCTATATTAAAAACACTAATTATTCATCAAGGAGCCTTGGAAAAATAGATTTGATCGTCTAATGTTTTTAGTGGCTTGTTCTGGCCAGCTAGAAAATTCTCAAATCGTATTTATAATCATAACTCAATTTTCTCGAATGGAACGAAAGTGGCTCATTAGCATATTTGGAAAAAGCATTTTTTTACTAATAATTTGATACCACACACTTGGTATTTCAAGTCAATTTTTTTTACAAACCGCAAGTTACAATTTCAAATAAACCGATATGCGAAAATGTCAAAAGTTGACATATAATGTGTCATTCTATTCTGAGTGACATTTTCTAACGAATAAAGTAAAAAAATACCGGGGATGTTATTTCAAAATCAAAAGTTGTAGTCATTTCCGGTGAAACCGGAAGTGGCCGAAAACAATTGAATACTTCAATTAACCGTAATTTATGTCATATACTAACGACCAAATTTTGTTTTTTTAACTAAAAAATAAAAAAGTTATAGGGGTGAGCCACTTTTGAGAGAGCACCCGGTATAATTGCCAAATAAAACACTAATTCACCAAAATACAATAAAACCCCTTACTTTTGCACTGGACGCCGAGTTTCGCTACCGTGTTAGCATCAATAGCAGATGATTAAAACTAAACTAATATCTACAAATTGAGAGATTATATAATCGCTTAGTTGGCTATAGTAATAAAATAACTAATAAGGATTCCGGATTCTGGTTCATATTTTTACTCATAACTTGTATGGATACGAAGAAATGTTTCAATATTTTCTATTTATATAAATGTAGTTTCCGGCTATATTGTGACATATTAAATCGTACTTTTAAATACAAATAAAATTCCATATTCTTTTTCTTTTTAAAATGTATTTTATATCCACCTCACCACTTTTCTTCCTCATAATATTAAATAATATAAAATCGCTGTATTTCCTCCGATTCTGACAGTTGAATTTATTCTCCATTTAAGTTTGTAGAAAATGAATGCGAGCTTTAAACTAGGCTTTTATTCGTCGAACAGTTTAGTTTTATGATGACGCCGACGCTTTCACTCAGCTTTAGACGCCTGTTAAGCTTGCCTGGAGCTTTTATACGCTAATTTGTATTGTGTTCGGATGTACACAAGAGCGAAGAAGAATAAAGATAGCGTCACAGATCAGAGAAATAATATATATTTAACAGTTTTTGATTATAGTTGGAAATATCGGTCTGTTAGAAGCTTCGAATAAAAATATTAAGGAAGGTGCATATTAACCATATTTTCATGCCAATACTGAATCATGGTCTACCTGACTCAAAGAAATATTCCAGATTTCCTATTAGAACATCTTAATTTGACCACCTATATTGATTTATATAATTTCAAATAGTCCATTTTAATTGAAATAAAATTTTGCCAGAAAATTTCAGAAAATATAAATACAAAAACTTTACCTATTTAATTTAAGAAACAATGCTATTGCTTAAGAAAGACGGTTTTTTAATTTAAATTCTTACTGAGTATTTTCACAGAATATTTCCAGAAAATTGTGTCTTTCTCTTTCCGTCCTATTATTAGACTTTCAGCTGACAGATCATTAATCACAATCTTTTACTTCGTGGCATCCGCAAACAGTTTTCGACAAAATATAACTCGATTTGCGGTAACTAATGTCTGAGAAACATTCATTAACATTTGGAAGTATATTTAAAAAAAAACTTTATTCCACGTTATAATTTATTTCTAAAAAAATATAAGAATTTTAGTATTTGGCGTATACAGAAATACAAAAATATTTTCTTTGTTTAATTGCTTCTTCAGATCACATTTTTACAAGTTAAAGCCATGTTGTTTTTGCTTTGTTTAGATTTTTAAGTGTTAATTTTTCATAAAAAAATAAGACGATCATTTATCATAATGAGTGGAATTTACAACAAAAAAAGAACACTAAAATAATATCAAGAAGATATTGTCATTTTAAGAACCACACGGTGTAATTTTTGACATTATGGTAATTTATTATTTGGTCAATTCAATTTAAAAGAACATATATTATTCTTCAATTCAATATTCTCTGTATGTGCTGCACAAGAATAATGTTATTCCTATCCAACTAGACATAAAACCAACTCATTGTATATACATTATTAATTCTATCCTTATTTTTTCAGCATCAGGTTGGTGGCCTATCCTCTCACATAAGCTGGAGCTGGAGCTTAGGGAATTGGGAATCGTCCCTAAGCACTCCTTCGTGTTTGGGAAAGATGCATCCCTAAGGCATATTGAAGGCAAACTTTCAGCCCTTGATAAAAACCCTTGTAGAGGTAAGTAACAGTAGCAGTATGGTGTTTTCTGAGTAAATGAACATATTATTTTTTATTCGGTTAATATTGAGTGAAGTGACAAGATTGACTTTATATATTCATAATAATTTTTTAAAACATTTCTTTACTAATAAGTAAAGTCCCATTTAGAACCTCGAAATTAGTGCAATAAATTAGTGGTTTCAATTATAATTTATACTTAAACCAAACCAAAAACTCTAATTAAAATTAATAGAATATCTTAGCAACAGCGTGGGATAATCAGTTGTATCCATAGAGAAAGTCTAATGATTAGCTTATAAAACCATACATATTTTATTTCGAACCACAGTTTCTCTTGGGATGATAATACAAAATGACTACTTGCAAATATTGAAGTATAATTAAATTAAAAAATTATAGTTATAATTAAATTAAATAATAATTAAATTAAATAATAATTAAATTAAAACAAGTTAAAAGTTTAAAACTACTACCACTAATTTTAACGTTCTGAATGCTTAAGCCCTCATTCAGAACCCCGCAATTAGTGGAATAAATTAGTGGTTTCAATTAGTGTAGAAATTTGATCCCTTAATTGGAATGTAAGCATTCAGAATGTCAAAATTAGCGCAAGAAATTTTTTAAAATTACTGGAAAAAGTTACCAAACTTTTAACATTTCCACTAATTATACTTCAACACTTGCGAGTAATGTCATGGCCAGATTGGCCTTTTATTATCATACGTCAAGAGAAAATCTGGTTAGAAATCAAAAGTTTGTTGTTTTATAAGCTAAATTTTAGGCTTTCTCTATGTATACAACATATTACTGCAAGCTGGTTGCTAGAATAGGTTGTTGACATATAGGATATTAGTTTTAATTGTGTTTTTACACATTGTGAATGATCGTAAACTAAAAAGTATAAAGTGTAATTGAAACCACTAATTTATTCCACTAATTGCGAGGTTCTGAATGAAGCTTTACATTGAAATTAGACTAAACGTCTACCCTAATTGAAACCAGTAATTTTGGGATTTTGGAGAGGAACTCTAACGGTTTTTACAGCGCACGCCAGAATAGCTCGCCAAATGGCAGTTTTTTTACTTACTTGACACTTATAGTTATATTTTGGTCAATTCACACAATATCTTTATAAATTATAGCCTATGTGTTATTCTGATGTATAAGCTATATGAATGTAAAGTTTCATTAAAATCCATTAAGTAGTTTTTGCGTGAAAGCAAGAGTAACAAACATCAATACATACAAACTTTCACGTTTATCATATTAGTAAGGATGGTCTCTACCTAGTTGATTTCTTTTTCTGGAACAGCCTACATTTTAGGACTGCCAAAGAAGAGACACCTATTTAGATGTATACTAAACATTAAAGAAAACAATGTAATAAATCAAAAATTTAATCAATTTAAGCGTTAATCTAACATAAAGCTCAATTAAGTCAGACCTTTGTACCATATTCCCTAATAAATTCAACTTTTAACGAACAAATTTTTAATTAAATTCTTTTGTTCAAAAGGCATAAATCATCTCTCTGCGCAAACACGGTGCCAGTTATTTACCAAAACGATTTAATTGGCTGATAATATGATTGAATAATTGATCATTCAGAAGCTGACTTCAATTTAGAGCTGGCCAGCATTTTTATTCTGTTCTGTATCCTTTTTTGTTCTTTTTTCTCTGGTATTTTTTTATAGCCATTGGGGAATTTTAATTTTTAACGAATAATCTTGTTTATCACTAGGTTCGTACTCTTCTTTATTTTTAATAATTAAATTTTTTGTGTCTGGAATCGTTCTGTCATTTTCTAATCTTTCTATAATAATTATATTAATGCATATATAAAAGAAACAAGTTTAGATTGGAAAGTGCCGATAAGGACAATGTAAATACTAGTTGGCGCTATTCTTACGCAACGGTCGCTCTCCAAAGCTTTCGGAGCGGTTCGGATTTTTCCGGAATTATGTCGCCAAATATACCTAGTTTATTCAAATTTATTATTTTCTTTTAATTTTTTGGTGTGTTGCATATAAGAAACTTTATTTTATATAACCGACGAAACCGACGTTATGCCACGATCCGCGATGGTTTCTGCAGTTCACAGTTCACACAGCTTTTAAGGACTGTTCAGAGTAGGAGCGATGAGCGTCGCGTCGCGATAGTATGGGAGAGGGTTAAACATTTTAAAAAATCGTAGCTCCAAAATTACAGTAGCTAGCGAAACGCGGTTTTCAATTTAAGATTAGGAATAATATTTGCAACAAAATTTGTAATAACATCAAAATCAGTCAAAGTATTTTGAGATATCCCGTGTTTCCGTAGTATGTTTTTGAGAAAATCCGTGTGGAGAACTCTAAACTCCCATCGGACGCGACCCCAGGTGGCGGATAGGGGAAAAACAAAACCAAACCGCGGACCAAAATTGGAAAAATTACTTTACTTTGAAACTAAAAGAACTGCCTACCAACTTTTTATTAACATATTTTAGTATGGGCGGCTATACGTGCCTCCCGGCGCCAATTTTGTCAATGAGGGCGGTTTTGTTCTTGTTTGCGATTGTTCTTAGCAACCACTATAGCAGCGCCCTACAAAGTATGCGCTCCAAAACAATTATAAGTTTTGGTGGCAACCCTTTATCTACATATTAGTGTTAATTTTGACGTTTTATGTCAATTTTTAGTAAATGTAGTCTAGAAATTGACCTCGCCAAAATTATCATCGATTGTCATTCCCCAGCCGTCTTTGATGCCATTTTTTTTTATTATACGATACTGGTATTTTTATACTGTTTCTAGGATTTATTTTTGAAACTTTCTCTGTTATTTCATCTAATGAAATACTCATTTTTGTATAAAATATTTTTTTTTAAAAAGACGCATTTTCGATGTAAAATAATAAAAACGATTAAATTTGTAACTTTACTTTATTAGCAGCTTAAATTATAATTTACATCTGCACTGTAAGGCTAACAAAGTTCGTGTAATACGTAAAGCGAGCATGAAAAATCGCTAATTGGCTTGATCCCGCAAAAACCTTATTACTAAAATCCGACTAAATGATCTTTTACATGGCGAAGTTGCAACGTGAAAGTTGTTTTTAATTAAATTTTAATATTAACATAATTTAATTCAGCTGCCTCATGTTTGGACGGTTGAAATTTTTGAAAGAAACTTTATATTAATTATTTTTTTATAAAAAAGACTGAAAAGCTTGGGTTTTTACCAATACTAATCTACTTGTCATATCTGAATTATTCATAGCCCGTCCGTATTTCTCTGGTTTAACTGTGTTGTTGATATAATTGGCGGAGCTTCAATTGAATCTTGATATGCATAACGATTGTTTACGTCAACGGCTTAGACTCGACGGACTGGCAATTTCATCTCTGAAATTTATGTCATTAAAATACTGTCAAAAATAATGCCTTTTATTTTTAGTCAGTTTATTCTTCTAATTTTCAAAATACCATTTGGTCGAGAAATCTGTGTCTGGCATCCTTTTTTAATTTTTTATAATTAGCATTAATTTTTGACAAGTTTTATGTCAATTTTTAGTAAATGACGTCTCGAGATTGACCTTGCCAAAATTATCTACGATTGTTATTTTCCAGTCGTCTTCGACTTCGTTTCTTTTTTCGATCATACGATACTTTCTTTTTAAATTGTTTATTTTTGATACTACCGGGTGAGTCTTAAATAAGCGCAAATATATTTGGTGCTGGTAAATCTCGATTAAAGAACCATATTTTCTCTTTGCCGTTTTTCAAATAAGTTCAAGTAACTGATATATTTTATTTTAAAAATTAAAAAAAATAAAATTTTGATTAAATTTTGAGAACCACTTGATTTTTTCTGGATTGTTATTCTTGTAAATTTAATATAAGATACTAGCGTGTACCAGCGACTTCGTTCGCGTCGAATCGATCATTTGTAATGGTGATGATAAAGCAAAGCAAGAATTTCCATTAACATACAAACTGGATAAAATTTTCTCACATTTATGTCAGCATGAGAAAAAACAATATGGCGATATTATTATATAACTTGGTAATATTTGAGGGGTAGTTTCATCTCGTTGGAATTTGACTTTCGAAAAATCCGTTTGCCAAAAATAAGGTTTTTACGTCAAGCAGTTTAAGCAGAATCGTGGTTAAGAAATTACCCAAGTTTTTGGAACACCCTGTATGATTTTTTAAAAAATTTCAAAATATGTAAAAAAACCAAATAAATTATGCTTGTACAAGCGTTTTCCCGAAAGAATAACCGTTTTTTAAATAACAAATATTGTAATATTTGAGGGGCGTTTTCACCATTTTGGAATTTGAGATTCGAGAAACCCCTCCTTATCGAACCTCTACACCCCACAGTCAATCCGTTTGCCAAAAATCAGCTTTAAACGTCAAGCAGTTTAAGCAGAATCGTGATCACTCAATGGTCATATTTTATGAAACACCCTGTATAAATTTATGAAAAATCTTAAAATATGTAAAACAACAAAATAAAATATACGTGTTTAAGACTTTTTCCGAAAAACTCACCGGTTTTTAAATAAAAAATATTTTAATATTTGAGGGATAGTTTCACTCCCTTAGAATTCGAGTTTCGAAAAATCCCTTCTTATCTAACCTCTACACCCTAAAGTCAATCTGTTTTCCAAAAATCAGCTTTTTATGTCAGGCGCTTTAAGTAGGATCGTGATTAATCAATGACCAGGTTTTTCGAAACACCCGTATACATTTTTAAAAAATCTTAAAATATGTAAAAAAACAAAATAAAATATACGTGTTTAAGCGTTTTTTCGGAAACTTGACCGTTATTTAAATAAAAAATATTGTAATATTTGAGGGGTGGTTTCACCCTCTTCGAACTGGAATTTCGAAAAATTCCTTCTTATCGAACCTCTACACCCTAGAATCAACCTGTATGCCAAAATTGAGCTTCTTACGTTGAGTGGTTTGAGCAGGATCGTGATTAATCAGTATGTCAGTCACACTTAATGATTTTATATATTAGTATAGATTATGTTTTTTAATTAAAAATTTAAAAAATATTCAATTTTTTTTTTTAATTTTCAATTTTTTTTTCGCAAACCTCTAGGCGTGTTTCTGGGGTCAAAATATACTACCACCCATAAAATATTTGCTTATTTAAGACTCACCCCGTATAATTTGGAATTTTTTGAAAAAATTTTTGTATTTACAATTTTTTTAGTTTTTAGTTTAAAGGCACAATTTTTTGATAATATAGCAACATAGGTAGTAGATTAAATTTACAAGAAAGTAAACCTAGAAAAAAAATTCTGCGGTTCTCAAAATTTAAGCAAAAAATCATTTTTTTTTGGAAATATTTGCATTTATTAAGACACACCCTGTATATGAAGAGTCCTTTAATGATGCAGAAAAAAACGGCGTCTAAGTGACCTTTGCTAACTGACCGGCTGCTAGGACATATTTGTTTAATATTTTTTTTACTCTATAAATATGCTATTTATTAAAAATAATCAAAAAATAAAAAAAATATATTTTTGGATTTATTTTTTATAGCTTATAGCATATAGCCGGCGCAGCGATGTGAAAGCAAATATGCTACTTGAAATTTTAAATATTTTATTGATTAGCGAAATTTATGTTCAAAAAATATATGTATAGTGTCCATTTTATTCACATATATTTGCATACATATTGCCGGTTTTTATATTTATAAAAAAAGCAAAATATTACAGGTATTTTAATTTGTTGCTTTATAAGCTAGTTTTTTTAAATAGTCATCATTTCTTTAATATTTATTTGTAGGAGACATCTCTCAAATTTGTTAATCTTGTCTGATATAGCAAATTTGTATGAGAGTAATGAGCCATCAACTACATCCCATATGTTTTTATAAGATATTTGTTTAATATTTTTTATTGGCACACTTTTTGTTAGCCATGTTATTTTTCTTAGATCAATAAAACCTCAGCCTATTCATAACCAGCCACCAACTTAAGATCATTTACATGGAAATCTGCGTAGTTAAGTAGATACCTGCTTGCCTAATCTCACAAATTTAGTCATGTTCTGAGCTTCATAGAAGTTTTTGTTAAAAAAAAGCAGGTGTGTACGACAATAAACAAAGCAGGTAAAAGATGAATAATGAAATACTGAAATACAAGCGAAGATGACCAGCTGGTATTAAATGAGCTGTGATCTGAATAAATATGGTGAGTCTTAAATGAGTGCAAATATTTTCAAGGCTGATAGATCTCATATTTTCTCTTTACGTTCTTCAAATAAGTCCAAAATAACCAAGGTTTTTTTGCTTTGAACATTTTAAAAAACGTTTTTTTGCTTAAATTTTGAGTAACACTGGATTTTTTTCTGGGTTTTCTTTCTTCTAAATTTAATCTACTACCTATGTTGCCATATTATCAAAGTATGTTTTTTAACTAATACAAAATGTTCAATTTTTTATTCGCGATAAGCCTCATAGACGTGTCTCTGGTGTAAAAATATACCATCCCTAAAAATATTTGCACTTATTTAAGACTCACCCTATATATTCTTTTAATTTTGTAACTTAATAAATAACTAACAGAATATTCTGGTTCTGCTGGATTTAAACTGATGTTTAAAATCTCATTTCATAATCAAAGACTTTTTATGAAGTAAGAAAATTGAAAGACAATAAAAGAGTTTAATTAAAATGGGATCGATAAAACCGCCCAACAAAATTAAACTCCACTTACATAAGAAGACTAAACGGAATATAAATTCGTATAATGCCTGAGCTATTTTCGGCAACAAAAACAACTGTTAATTTAACCAGAAAATAAAAAGAAATTTACATTTCGAATATTTTGGACTTAGGGAAGAAATAAAAAGAAGCGAGAGAAGGTTTTTTTACCACGATCCCACATAAAATCTGCCGAGATAACAATTTTTAGAATTCTGCTCATAAATTTTGCTTTTTATTAATATATGGAATTCCTAATATTCGTTAAAAATGTAACGAACTCGAATTTTTAGAATCAATTATAACTTTTTACTAGGAAGAGGATTTTAACTAAAGATCTGGTTATGTTAAAAATTCCCTTTTTGTTCTGTTAGTTTTATACAGTTATTTTTAGTTTTTATTATGTCACATTCCAGATACTTTATAACTGATATGTAGAATGTCGAATGTAAAATATTTCGGGGAGGAGTTAATTACCGCGACCTTACAGATTTATTGTGTGTTCGTCTTTCTTGAGTTATAACGAGTTATAATCATCATACAGTCTCAGGGCTTTAATAAAAGCCAGTATCTGAAACGGCTCCACAGAGGCCAGCTGTCCATCCTCAACATCAGTTGTACCAAAGTTCATGGCACGAATGATTGTCGTCTCGGCGCACTCAGTGATAAGGTGTTCTGGTGTTTCCCCATTTTCTCCACAGAATCATAACTGATTTACATAAGTCAGTTTTATGCAAAGTCTATCAATCTAGACAAATATTGTGTAAGGACTTGGATACATTTGTCCTATGACTCAGGGAGGCCTAGCATCCACAGTGCGACTATTTTGTGACAAAAGTTACAAATTGGTTGATCTTGCAACTATTTTGCAACCTCGGTCACGTATAGTTGTGTGAAACCGCACACGAATCGATTCGAATGGAACTAGTTTGCAATCTGTCACAAATCTGTTGTTCGCGACCATTCCCCGCGGTCGCAGTTGTGTTGCAGTTTTAAAATTGCCTGTATTCAAGTGATTTCCACGTAGTTAATTTATATATTTCAAAATGGAAGAGTTAAGAACTGAACATAGAATTTGTCTGTTGAGAAGTTGGGAAATACGAAGAACTCTGTAATTATAAACTTTCTGGGATGCTCCAAGAAAGACGTGATGTAGAAAGCATGTATGGATGGACCCAGTGCTCTCTATGAATCCTGAATTGTCTGCGGTATTTATGATAATTAATGAGGTTTTCATCATCATTCTCAATATTCGGAATTTTTTGTATTTTTTTTTAATTCAACTGCTACATCAACTGATTGAAACTGATTCAGAATGAATTACATTCGTGTGCGTTCAGCAGTTTCATTTTAGTTGGAAACTGATTGTAGAGTAAACTAATTTGCAACTTTTGGTTTAAAATAGTCGCACCGTGGGCGCTGGGCGTACATACACAAGAAACCGTCTCAGATACTGGCTTTTTTCAAAGCTCCACAGACTGTTGTGAGTTATGACTTAAGAAAGGGATGATTAACTACCCCCCTCCCATGCCAATCTACAATCTACAAATACCTACATAAAAAAAATTGTATAACAACATTTTACTATTTATTTATTAATTTTTCACATTGATTGTTTTAATATATATAAACTTAAAGACAGAGACAGAAGTAGATTTTTTATATCATAATTCATTGTTGTTTGCCACTTTTAAACAAATATCATTTGTTTCAGCTCTTGTTTTTTGTTTACCCCCCGACCGATTGGGTTTGTCCATCCTGGAAAGTACAAAACAGCTCAATACCAGTTTAGAAAACAGTTTATTTATTTTTCTCGACATCCTGACTTTGCCATCGTGGAAGTCCAGCCTGGATAAAGTCATGACAACCAACAACAGCATTAACACAACCTCTACATTGTCTTCTCAACCTCAAGACATTCTGCTTTTTCTGGACAGAATTACACTAAACTCAACGATAGAGGAAAATGTAATCAAGAACATTGGTGATAGTTTTAATATAAGTCGGGTTCGGGTACCGCCTTCGTTTGTGCTTGTTGATGTGCAAAATTTGACAATGCGACCTTTGCTCAATGTTTTTGAAACTAACGGAAGTAACGGGTATCGAACTGTAACTGTGAGTGATAATTTTGATCAATGGTGGACTACGCATAAACAATTGGAAGAGTGTGATGCTTTCTGTAAATTTTCAGCGGAAAATTTAGTTAGGTGATTATCAGAAACTAGATTTATTTCTTCAAAAAAAAATCCTCTAGGTATTTCGCTACTTAAGCACTGTAAGAAAATCTACAAAATAAGATAGTTATTTTTTGTAAACACCGCTGCTTTAATCCAACGGAGACCAATTTGTCAGAGGTATTTTACTAATAAAACAAAGTTGTCTAACGGACAGAAAAATGCTTAACGTTTAGGAAAGTTATAGCAAAAAGAAACACAAAGAAACAAAGAAAAAACTATTTTAAATATCTAAATACAAATATTCAAGAACACTTTAATTTTTTTTTCAATAAATACGTCTATTGAAAACCGTTGACTTTCTGTTAAATTGACATTATATCATATTAAACATCAAAACTTACAATTACTAACTGATAACAGCTAATAAGCTAAAACCAAAAAGTCTCAAACTTTCCGTATATGGTTATTTTATTTGTTTTCGAGTTTGTTTTTAATTTTTACTTATGTTTTGTTTATCTATGTTATGTTTATTAAAATCAAAGAAGCGTTAGCCATACATTACTAAACTCTACATTTGCCTGAGCAATACATTTATTTATATTAGACCATATAAAAAAGCCTCTTTTATTTTCGTTTGAGGCCATCGGTCCTTTCAATTTTGCTAGTAGCGAATTACTTAAAGGTTTTTCTTAAAGAGTTGAATCCACCATAGTGGTATATACAGGGTGAGTTTCCTACGATGTTCTCTATGGGTATCTCGGAAACTACTGGAGATAGAGAGTCAGTTAAATGGGGAAAGAATTGCAGTTTTGTGGGGTCATAAATATGCGCCTTTGAGATTTTTGAAAAAGTTCATGGCTTACTAGATATTTCGAAAAAAACAAATTTCGGCTATTTTAAAAATTGTCAATAATTCCATTATAAGCTATTTCGGACAAAAAGTTTTCAGATAAAAGTTGTAGATAATCACATCCTTAATGAGACTCTGCCCTACGTTTTCTTCTAATGCCTGTCATTTTTGACATACGACACAAACATATGTTTTTTTAAATGGAAACCATAGTTGCCCATGACTTCATAAAAAGCCCCATTTTTTAAGCTTTTCAGTGATATAAGCTATAATATGTTTGCTTCGAAAAATTATTGAGTTATAGCCTATTCTTATAATTTTTTAACAATTTCACTTAGTTATCCATGGAAACAAGTTCAATCATCGTTACTCTCGGGTGGCGGTACTAGAAAAGTTTAATTAAGTCGACCGGTCCTTCTATGAGAATAAGTAGTAATTCAGTTTTAAAAAGATGCAACTCAAAACAATGGCGGATTTTTTGAACTTTTTCTAAAATAACTTAAAGTGTATGCAGTGATATTATTTTTTTAAGTTTTAGTTTGTGTAATGTAAATTGTAAGGAACCGTTTAGTAATATATTCTGACTTTTTATAAGTTATAAATCATAACAGAATGCAATCTAATTGAAATTAGTCAAGAAAGATAAGAATTGGCTATAACTAAATTTAACTTTCCTAACATGTCTTGAAAACCGTTCTCTAAAAAACGTAAGTAACGTTCACCGGTCAACGTATCCTCGAAAATGTATGATCAAGAAAAGTTGAACCAATAATCCTACACGCTTTTCTTCATTTGAAATATTCATATTTACAATTTTTGCTTATTTAATTTACAAAGTTTGGATGTGACAGCTTCACATTTCTGAAAGCAAAGGCGATTATACTTGTTTCCATGGCTAACTAAGTGAAATTGTTTAAAAATGATAAGAGTTGGCTATAACTCAGTAATTTTTCGAAGAAAACATATTATAGCTTATATCGCTGAAAAGCTTAAAAAATGGCGCTTTTTATGAAGTCATTGCCAACTATGGTTTCCATTTAAAAAAACATATGTTTGTGTCATATGTCTAAAATGACAGGCTTTAGAAGAAAACGGAGGACACGGTCTCATAAAGGATGTGATTATCTACAACTTTTATCTGAAAACTTTTTGTCTAAAATAGCTTATAATGGAATTAGGGATAATTTTTAAAATAGCCGAAATTTGTTTTTTTCGAAATATCTAGTAAGCCATGAACTTTTTCAAAAATCTGAAAGGCGCATATTTATGACCCCACAAAACTGCAATTCTTTCCCCATTTAAGCGACTCTCTATCTCCAGTAGTTTCCGAGATACCCATAGAGAACATTGTAGGAAACTCACCCTGTATGTTACGGTTAAGGTCCAATATTCGGTTAATATCGACATTACCTGGTTAATCTCGAGAATAACACACAACAAAACAACCAAAAACAAAACCAAACCCAAACCCAAACATTAACCTTTTAATGTCGACATTAACCGTAACATATAGATTTTTTAACACTAGATTTAGTTAAACACAACATTCAAAGAATAACCATTATTACATGCATTGATAATTTTTTCTTAATTTTAATTTGATTTAGTAAATTTTTCTTTCAGTGCTTGGTTATACTGGGTGATATCCTGCTCAATTTTACTGATATTTTTTCTATTGGGACTGACGGCTTTTGTGAGATATAAGCTTCTGAAGAAAAAGACTGCCAAAGCACCATTCAAGGTCTTATTGTCTGGTGCAGACTTTGTGTTTCCTCAATTGTCTGATAGACCAAGGGTAAGTGAAATCGTTTTTCTGTATTAAAATAAAAACGAAATAAAACAATTAAATTTTCGGGTATGATATAAAAATAAATAAGTGAGAGGGGCACATGTTTTTTTTTTATTTGTAGCACAGTAACTTTTACCCTCAAAATTTTCTTCGAATCGCTAAAAGTATTTGGAAGAAAATTATAATTAATCGAAAAAAAATGAAGAATTTAACCTCCTATAGCTACAAAACAAAGCAGAATCGGACCTATGCTGATATAAAAATAAACGTTATTTTAACGTGAGGAATCTCCCAATAAGAGGTGGCACATTTTATTTAAAACATCCTGTATAAATGGAATAATTTTCCTCCGTATTTTCCTGATATTCAGACTGGTATTACATCAATGACTCTATTAAAGGCCACGATTATTGGCAGAATATTTCATTTTGTTGCCATAGAAATGTGCAGTTATCGAGAATTCGAATGTCAAACATATCGCGAGATTCTCGTTCGAAATATTGCACATTAATTTGTTGTTTAAATTAGTCACTTTGATTTCTGACACAGTTAATGAGACAACCTAATAAATAAATGACAGGATAAATGGTATAGTCTATAAAATAAATAACTTTGAATTTTGACCGTTATTTTTTACCAAAATGGGAAATATAAAATCCCTCTGTCAAAAAAGTTACTGATATTCTTTAAATTGAGTGCCTGAACGAATCAGATAGCTAACTCTTTTTACTTTCGTGAAATAGAAAAGGAAAATAATAAAACAAGTGACAGTTCTTCCTCTTCTTGCAAAAATCAACAAGAAATGTCATAATTGACAAAAGTAAAATGTCATCAGCTTTTGACATTTCTAAATATTAGACTAATGCCGTCTCTAAGAGAACAGCCACGGAGCGAGATTTATGACGTCACGCTAGTTAGATACTACGGATTAATAAATATGTTGTAGAATACATGGAAAACATAATTATTCCTTGTATTTTTGCTTTGTATTTTAAAAGTGATATAGTTTACATGAAATATATATAATATACAGTTAATAAATACAATATAATATATACCTATTTATAGTAATAAATATTTTGGCAAACAAACTATGAACCACACAAATGCAGCAAATGTTTTACAATATACAAATAATGAATAGGTGGTACATAAGATAATGGGTAAAATGTAAAATATATTTTAAATTTTGGGGTTTGAAAATCGATCTAATTTAACAAAAAACAATCAATATCTACTAATAGTGATGTATTATTATTTGCATTCACAAAATTTATTTATATATTATAATGTTTACTGCAATTAATAAACTAATATAAACTTCTCAAAAGATGACCACATGTTTTTTTTAAATTATTATTCTTAACACAAAAATTATCTACATTGACTATGGAGTACGATTTCAGCCATATTGTAAAATATTTGCTACATTTGTATGGTTCATAGTTTATGCCAAAGTATTTATTACTATAAATAGTTATATATATTGTATTTATTAGCTGTATATTATGTATATTTCATGTAAACTATATCATTTTTAAAATACAAACTAAAAATACGAGGAATATATATGTTTTCCATGTATTCTACAACATATTTATTAATCTGTAGTATCTAACTAGCGTGACGTCATAAATCTCGCTCCAAGGCTGTTCTATTAGAGACGGCATTAAGTCAGCATGACCGCAAGTTGCTAACCTAATAAAATTAACACTGGAAAAGCCCGCGGGAACTGTCAAATTCAAAGTTATTCGTTTTACAGACTATATACTGTAAAGTCTTTATTAGCCCCAAATGAAATACACCTAAACTAAATTATTAAATAGTTTTATAGTAGACTATACCAAAGAATATACTAAAAAAGACTACGTCGAATGACAAAATCCTAAACAGTCATAGATGTGCTTGTCATTTTAATTTCAAAGTGGTTTATTTTATTTTACAAAGAAATAAGTTGATACAATTGGAATACAAAGCGGGAAATTAATATATTTAAAATTTTAGTGACAAATTATTACTTCAAAATATTATGAAAAACAATAATTATTGTATAAAACTGAAAAAATCTAATTGAGTTATTTTATTTAAAAAAAAATTATGGTGTTTGTTAGTACAAAACAAATAAAGGTGTGTGACATTTTTATGGTAACATTTTTTCGACGAAATAAAATTTCCATTTTCAAAAGCTTCATTCAGCACCTGGCAATTAGTGGAATAAATTAGTGGTTTCAATTAGCGTAGAAGTTTATTTCTTTATCAAAAAAAATCTAAATTAGTGGTAGTCATTTTCAAATAGGTAGTAGAAAATGTTCAAAATTTGCGAAGAACGTCATTTTGGCCTTTGATTATCATCCGTCAAGTGAAATTGTGGGTAGAAATCGAAAGTTGATTGTTTTATAAGCTAAATATTAGGCTTTCTCTATGGATACAACTGACTACCACAAGCTGTTGCTAGGATATGCTATTAATTTTAATTGTGTTTTTTGGACATTGTGAAAAATCGTAAACTAAAAAGTATAAAGTGTAATTGAAACCGCTAATATATTCAACTAATTGCGACGGTCTGAATTAAGCTTTAGTCGGTTTCCTGACTACAGCAAAAAGAAAGACACACAATCGTTTTTAAACATTTTTGAAAAAAGTCTAAAGCTTCATTCAGAACCTCGCAATTAGTGGACAAATTAGTGGTTTCAATTTTACTTTAAACTTAAGAGTTTACTATCATTCACAATGTCTAAAAAATATAATATGTCTAAAGAATATAAATTAATGGAATATCCTAGCAACAGCTTGAGGTAGTCAATTGTGTCCATAGAAAAAGCCTAATATTAGCTTATAAACCTTTTAGAAACCAATCAACTCTTGATTTCTAACCACAACTACTCTTGAAGGAAGATAATCGAAGGCTAAAATGACATTTCTCGCTTTTGAAGTATAATTAGTAGAAAAGTTAAAAGTTTACTTTTTCTACCAATTGAAAATGTCTATCGCTAATTTTGACGTTCTGAATGAAACCACTAATTTATTCCAGTAATTGCGAGGTTCTGAATGAAGCTATAGACTCACCATAATAAAGTAGCACCGAAATTTACAAAAGTATTACAATAATTCTATTCATATGTGCACTAGCTCCCAGACTATTATTACATTTTGAAAAATAGTTTCTGGCGTTACATAAAATTCAACCCGCATACTATAAAAGATGCTTATCCTAGGACCTCGCATTTTATTTCGCCGCTTTGCATGCGGTTTTCCATGAAATCGACAAATGTGACTGGCGTTCTGAGTTCCGCGTGGGTTCATATCGCTCCAATGGATTGCCGATATACGGATGTCTTACATTTACATGCCGATTTTTCTCAATATAACGTTGCTGAATTTTTTATTAAGATCTCGGAAATGTATTTATGGATGGAGCAACGTGCACGAGATACGTGTCTATAACGGGGAGTTATATTATATTTATACAGGGTGAGAGGCTTAAATAAATGCAAATATTTTCAGGGCTGGTATATTTCGATCCCTGGAACACGTCTTTGAGTTTTTTTTTGGAAAAAAGGTTGAAAATCATGCATTTTCTTTTAAAATTTTCTCTATATTTTAGGAAACTTTTTAGAACTGCCTGTCTACCAAATTTTCCTAGGGTATAATTTCCTAATCTCTGATATTGCCATGGTTACGGCTTTACTCTATGGTAACGGCATTAAAAGGAATGCAAATACAGAAAAATCCGGTGGCACTCAAACTTTTTTAAAAATAAATCAGTTTCTATTTATACTTTGAAACTGGAATAACTCGGTTATTTAGGACTTATTTGAAAAACGGAATAGGGAAAATATGTTTCTTTTATCAAGATCTATAGTCTGTAAAACGAATAACTTTGAATTTGACAGTTCCGCGGGCTTTTCTAGTGTTAATTTTATTAGGTTAGCAACTTGCGGCCATGCTGACTCAATGCCGTCTCTAATAAAACTGCCTCGGAGCGAGATTTATGACGTCACGCTAGTTAGATACTACGGATTAATAAATATGTTTTAGAATACATGGAAAACATATATATTCCTCGTATTTTTGGTTTGTATTTTAAAAATGATATAGTTTACATGAAATATACATTATATACAGCTAATAAATACAATATATCGTGGGCGTACAAGGAAAACCATATAAGTCCAAAAACTAAAAAGGTGAGAAAAAGTGATTTCCTGATGAAATTTTAATGTTTGAAGTGATATATAAAATCCAATTTTATTTTTTGACTGCACTAAAAGAAATCGATTGACGTTAGGGTTATTTAGGGCTAATTTAGGCTAAATTAAAATACAGGGGTTTTAAGAACAAATTGTTTATTGACATTTTTTTATAATAATCTGACTTAATGGATTTTTCTGAAAAAAAACTTAAATTTTACTGGAGTTAGTGGGTTTTTCTTGATTGGCTCCTTTACTTTTTGGGACCAAATAATGAGCCAGAGGCTCATTATCGGAATCACAATCGCTTTCTTGATCGGGAATTCTCACAGATCCTTCTTGAACATTTTTGCAGACTGTTAAAAAAATTCATAAATCCATTAAGTGCACTTAATAGATTTTTCTGAGCGAAATTTAGCGTCTGTGGACTTAGTTATTTTGAAACTAATAATATTTCGTATATTTGAACTGTATTGGACTTAAAGGATATTTAATATGAGAGGTTATACCTAAATAGACTTAGTAATGTGAAAAAACGATTTTACGAAAAAGTGGACTTACATGGTTTTCCTTGTACGCCCACGATATATACCTATTTATAGTAATTAATACTTTGGCAGATAAACTATGAACCATACAAATGCAGCAAATATTTTACAATATGGCTGAAATACTCCATAGTCAATGTAGATAGTTTTTGTGTTAAGAATAATAATTTAAAAAAACATGTGGTCATCTTTTGACAAGTTTATATTAGTTTATTAATTGTAGTAAACATAATATATAAATAAATTTTGTGAATGCAAATAATAGTAC